ACAACATAAAGGCTTTTCTCTTCACTGCTAAAAAACAAAGACAAAGAAACGGCCTCGCAGCCTCACGGCTCCATCAAAGTCAGGTTGTTTTCTACATCTGTGTAATACAAAGTGTAATATATTTAGTGTTTTGTCTTCAGCTCTGTTTTAATCCTGATGCGTGTTTTTTTATGCTTAAATAAACAGTCATTTAAATGAGCCGTTACTGCACTGTAATATACGGCATATTTAAACGCTGCATTACGACAGAATTCAGAAATTTGGGATGCGATATGAACTGTTGAATGGCCAATGGCCATTTCTTAAACACGGACCATGATCCAAACACGCATGACATCTAATGAATGAATGAATGTTTTATGTTACCTTTGTTATTAGCAAACAGCTGGGACACGTTGGCACACGAGACACTGACCACCTGTCCGACATCTGCACGGTACCAGCAACGGATGTCGTCCCATACCGTCCGACAACCTGGACCACAGATACGGAGAGGAGAGAAAGAGCATTTGATATCGTTGTGTTGTTGGATGTGTGGGGGGGGGGGGGGGGTTAATTTTAAATTAATGGCATTTTTGGGGGTTTTCTTGCAGCTTAAAAATCAGAATCAGGTGGACTGTAAATGACATCATAGTTGTTACCACTGAGAATTTTAATTAACTTAATTAAATTCATCACCTGCAACATCAGGCTGGAAAAATGTCTTACTGAATTAAAACAAAATCCCTTAGCCGATTTTGTTTAAACAAAAAACAAACCAAAAAAAATTAAGAGAAAAATTGATTTACTGAGACTGTAATTAAAAAAAAATTACACATGCAATTACCAACAGTCAGAAAAACTCAGAAGCTTTAGCAGAGCAACCGTCAAAGATGGCAGTGAACTGACACATCTAATTAAGACAGTGCAAATTCAACTTAATATTGACTGCATATGAATTCATCCATTTTTATTGCAGTTTGTTTTTTATGATAAAATAATAACAAAAAATACAGCATAATATTTTTGTACATGCGTCGTTAGTCAACTCAGAATAATCCTGATAATGAGTCTGAATACTGGCGGGAAATCAGTTGGTGATAAAACCCAAACTCATATTATATGGGGATATGAAAATGTTTTTATTTATTGGAATTAACCACATTCCATGTTGTGTGAGGCAACAGAAGAAACAACAGGAAATATACTGTGGACACTGAGTACTGAGTACTGAGTACTACAGCCACTTAGAAGTGAATCGCTGCCATTTTGATTTTGTTTACTCTGCTGATACTGTGACAATCAGATCAAAATCATTCCCCTCCAGACCAGAAAATAAAAGAAAAAAATTGAGAGAAATTGAAAGTAATATTTTAAAGCAGAAAATCAGTTGATCAAAAATATTTTGTTAATGTTTACTGTATATGAAACGTCTTCTGATGTGATTTCCTGTGGTTGAAGTATAAGAGATGTTGGACTGGACAACCTTCTCCACCCTTCTCTTAAAAATAAAGAAAACATAAGGGGGAGGTGGGGGGGGCACTTGTTTCTCCCCCTGGTGTCAGTGGGTATCAAAGCTGCTCAGTCCAAACCTCATCCATAATAAAACACAGATTTGGTTTCAGCGTCAGGAATATGTGACCTCAATACACAGAGCCGGAGTCAGACCGATGTTCTGAGGCTGTGCATCACTGTGTGGTCAGTGCTGGTCAGTGCTGGTCAGCTGACCTTCCCTCTGCATCAACTGGAGGTGGCACATTATCAGGCAGCTGCTGTAACTGCCCTTAATGGCTCTGCAGGTAATGAAAAGCCACAGTGAGCTGCATAAAAGGACAGGGTGCCTTTGTTTGAATCCCACTGTGAGTCAAGCGTTCGGCGGGGGGCGTCGGTGGGCTCCTCATTAGGTCCTAATTAAAGCGGAGCTCCTGACACTGACAGATGAACGGAGCGATGCTGTTGCTGTTGCTGCTGCAGACATTTGGACCTGTTTACATCAACCATCCTCGGCACAAAGGTGCCTTTGGTTTTCATGCTTTTAGACAAATGTTCTAGATGTCGGCTCTGAAAACATGCTACCTGCTACTTCTGTGCTCACACTTTCACACACTGGTGAGGTGGCGAATCAGCCTGGACATGAACTGGAAATGTGATGATTCTGCTGTGGTGGAAGAAGCTCATGAAGTTCTTACCACACGGAGCAGATGTTCAGAATAATAGCTTTCAATTCTTACAATGGTAGGAACTCAGGAGCTCAGGAGATAATGACGTTTATGTCTTTTTGTCAATTGTGTTCCTGCCATAGATTTTTTAATTTAATTTAACAGCCATCTTGGGCTTCTCCTATAGAAATGACTTACATTCTGCACATGCAATAATTAGCGCAAAGAGATCAAGTAAGACTTGGATTTAGAATTTCATAACATCAATATAGATTCAGTAAAAAAAAACTCTTTATGAATGACTTGAGAATCAAAGTCCTTCACAGAACATTTCTAAAGAAAAGTTTTTTATATATTTGTTGTTGAAAAAAGATGAATTTCACTTTGTCACTTATAGTTCCATTTAGAGTAAAATTGCTGATAAAGCAATGCAGGATAAGTTCTTAAAAGAAATTAATTATTTGAAGAACAAATCTTTTCTTTGTGGCTACATGTTTTAAAAACAGTTGAAAATAATCCAAATTTGTAGCCACTGATACATTTTTAAAAAGAACATAATTTAACTTACAAGACAATATGCTAAGAAATGGTTAAATAAGTCCTTTATACAGAACTATTGAGGGGCCAAAAAAAAAAAAGAAAAAAAAGCAGTACCAGTACTCAGGTACATTTAGATAGGTCACATGTGTCAAACTCAGGCCGGGGGCCAAATCTGGCCTGCAGAGTAATTATATTTGGCCCGCGAGATCATATGAAATGTGAACTATATTGGCCCATCATTACATAGTCCTATACACTGGCAGGATTTGTAGTATTAGTGGTGTATGCACTATGTTATAGCACATACTTATTTTATTTATTTTTTGTTGTTGGTCTGTGAAAAAAGATTTACATTAAAAAGGAACTGGAAAGGCTCTTCAGGCAGATGAAGAGACGTAATACGAAACAAATGCCACTGATGTTGGTTTTATTTCTCATGTGTTTATAAAATAAGCTTTGGTTGTTCAAGATTTACTGTTTACCCCAAACTAAAGTTTGTTTCCATATGAAAAAAATTACATATCTGGAGAGAAGGGAAAACATGCACGATTTGTCGTCAATGTTTCAATAAATATTAAGTTTGGCCTGAGACTTTTTTTAAATTTTGGACCACTGTCAATTTGAGTTTGACAGCCCTGCTTTAGGTCCTGGTCCAGAGTTTGGTAGAAAACTGAATGTCAGTGTAAACACTTCCTCCTGCCGTCTCACTCCAGTCCAGTGTTCTCCTGCGTCCACAGCAGCACAGTCGTCAGTTTGTCTGACAATCGGCTGCTCTGATATTGTTACCAGTTAATACAGAAGCAGAGGCTCCGCAGGGACACGTCTGACAATATCTGTTCTTTCAATAAACAATGATGTGGGATGAGGTGGAAGCAGAGGTTAACGGAGAACAGGAGGATTTGGGAGTGACGATGGTGAGGTGGACGACCAGCTCTGACGGTGATTCAGCACGGGGTTTGATGTTGTGTGTGGTGAGGCATTATGGATACATAAAAGTTTGGTTTATGTTTGTGTTTATATTGAGTCATTTTCTACTCCCTGGATCTCTCATCTAATCTCCCACCTCTGTTGTGAGAAGCTCCCACAGCCCCCACCTGACGATGGAAACAGAGAACAGAGTTCTGACTTGAAG